TGATCTTTGGTAAATCATATAAAATCATGTAGGTGTCCAAAAATTGTGAAACTAATTTTGTTAGGTTCCTAAAATCATGACCTATCTGCTAATGTATTTTGTTCACTTAGTTTCATAGAATTTTCAAGAGTAGACTAATTAATTTGAAGCACTTAAAATGGGTAAAATATGAACTTGTAGGAATTATTGTGATGAATTGATAGTAATACTAACCCTAAAATTTTTATAGTAGATTCCTAATATTATTAGGTGACCACTGTAATTTTTGTAGCTCCATAATAATTAGTTTGCTAAGATAGCTAAATGAGCCCTAGTTCGAAAATATATGTTTAAATCAATAAAATGTCGAAACACATAGGGATTTTATAACTAGAACATTGTGGGAAATTAGCGCCTAGTTCGACAACTTGGATACGTGGTCTAGTACGTTAGTCGTTAGAGCTAGCTCGTTAGCATGCGAGATGTAATCGTATTTTAGAGTTGCGGATGACATTGATTATTTACATCCCTGCGTTGCATCCATGTATTTCATGATAGGAGCGATGTTGGATTATGGAGTTATCGAGAGTAGCGGAAGCAGATGGTGACTTGGTGATCATGCCACCAAAATGGAAGCTAACTTGATTATATCTTACCTAGGCAAGCTATGGTGCATAACCCCTATTATTCTGCACTTTATTTTATATTTGTGCATTAAGTTTAAGGAGTTGAATGAAACCCACTTGCATATATATATTCTTATCCTATGAGTTTTACTAGTATGACAGGATCATGTAGATTGCTATGCTATAGGACTCCAGTAGAAGTCGAGTGATTGCCTGTCACTCGCGAGAGATAGAAAATATATTATTGTTACTATTATCATGTAACTATCATATGGAATATGTATGGATAATAATTGGAGATGGGGTGGGGCCATACTTTGGATTTGGATTTGTACTTGGTTAGGTAACCGAGCGAAGCTCTGGTTGCGTTTGTCCCGCCTGTGTCGAGTAAGGACATACCGTTGCATTGGATTCTAGTCAGGTCATAGACTTATTATCCTGAGCACATACTTGCTTATGGAGCGGGAAGGCTCATTGCTCTCTTATCGTAGGTTCCGACTCTGTCTGGACCGACTGATTGGAGGCGGGGATGGTGGAGGTCTAAGCACCACACTGAGTCCGGGACTCAGGAGTGGGGGTTTGGAGTCCAAGTTTGGACGAGGACCTGGACCCCTTGATAGGAGAGTGGTGGGTTGGTCCTGCTTGTATCTGGGTACAAATGGGGCATGTGTTTTGGGATACCCAGCTGGGATACATTGGTTCGCGAATCGTCGTGTAATATGATACGACTTGTCTACGATCTAGCACCGTAGTAAGAACTGGAATATGAAAGATGATAAAATAGTTCTGATTGCTTACCACCTGCTGGAAAAGTAGCATATGTGCTTACATAGAATGGTTAGTTAATGAGTTAATGATGATTGCTAATAAAATTGAATATAAGGACGCACGTTTAGTAATGCTCATGCAGATGCAATAAATCCACAAGCCAGATAGCCTTGCATATCCTTGGAGTCTTTTCTTTTCTCTCGACGGGTAAGTTTTGTGGAGTACAATTGAGTACTCAGGGTTTGTTCTACCCTAATGCAGGTGACAGGAACATGTGGAGTGGATACTTGTGTGTGGAAACCTCCTGGTGGGCTCAGCGATGATTTCTTTAACGTTGCAGACATAGAGTTTATTTGAAAATTCCACCCAAAAGGTTTTACAATGGAAAAACTTATAACCTATTATATTGTATATAACGGATCATCATGTTAATGTTTAACTTATCATTAAATGATTTTGCTTTCGCTGAAACTCTGATAACATGGTTATTCTGCTGTTGTAAACAATAAATATTATACTCTGATGTTGCATGAAAAGTGATGTAAGAAATGACTTATGAATATTGTAGGTTTTATTCTCTCATTTATGATCCTGATGAAAAATGTGGATTTTTGGGTTCTCCCTTGGGGTGTGCTCGACGGAACTGCGTAATTTAGTGTCCTCCCTTGAGTACTTAGTGTCTAATGGAAGACAAGTACTCCTGGGAGGCATTAGATTAGGCAGTTCTGCCACACAATGCTAGGTAGATTTATGTCTTATTATGGTTGTGTGCATGAGTTGGCATTCCATTCCATCAACATCATCATTGTACAACGATATATATAGGAAGAAAGAAAACCCAAAAAATTATTTGCACGATTGCAACTATTGCTTACCGGCCCATACCTACTCTTGATAAATCAAATGAACATAGTATCTTTGTCCAAAACGAATGTAGTTCTAGAGTCGTGTTCAGTCAAACACTTTTAAGTTTTATCAGATTTGCATAAAAAGGTACTAATACTAGATTTATCATGAAATGTATTTTCAGTATACATATTTAAAGTTGTAAATATCAATACTATTTTCTATAAACTTTAGTCAAAATTAAGATAGTCTAACTTGAAACGAACATAAAATTGTACCCTTTCTAGGATAGAGGAAATATTACGCAACAAAATATAAGATGTATAATAAATTACTATATGTACCTTTAAAACATTAGAACCAAGATATGGATGGTGCTTTTGTCATCACGCAGCATTGGAGATCGTAACATAGTCGCTAGAATTGTTGCTGAACATAAAACATTATACGAGAGACGATAAGATCACTAAAACCATTGCCAACAACTCGAAAAGTTACATGGGAACAATTTGAATCATTCTAGTTTTTCGATTGGGTAAGAGAAACATTACATGTAGTAGAGGTTTCTTTGTCCTTTCTTTAGGTGGATATCTTTGTTGCGTTTTTTTGGTCACTCATGTTGAGAGCGGGTTCTCATTGGTAGATTTGTCTTACTTAGTTATTACTGTTGTTGTAGCTATTGTTGTTGTTTTTTTGTGTATCCTCTCGAGGGCTATTGTTTGTCTCGTCGATGCCTTCTTCTTTGTCAATATAATCAACCAAAAAAGGTCATTATTAAACAAAACAAATTAGAAGGTAACAAATTAAACCGATCCTTGTTTTTCTATTTAGCAAGAGAAATAACTTGACTATGAGAGAGAGCATCTGGACCTAAGATATTATTTTAAAGAATCTGAAATTCTACTAAATGCCTCCTAAACATAGTGTATATTTTTACGAGTTACACCTTGCTCCCCATGGAAATGGAAAAGTGAAATGATTTTTATCCAAGTGTACACAAATTTGAAGTACTCCCTCAGTCTAAAATAAGTAAACTCCTAAGATATAATGAAAAAACTAATGCTGCTACAAAATTATATATACTTATATCAAAAGATACACTAGTAACATGCAACATTGGTACTAGCGTTAGGTGGTGGTTCATGGTTTAAAAGTGCATTTATTATAGGACAAATTCTAGGTCAATCTCAGTGGGAGTTTGGTAGAGTTTCATAGGTATTAAATATGCTGGCATGACACGTATTGATGAAGAGAGATAGATGAAAGTTTATAGGGGTACAGAGAGTTTTATGGAGACGAAACTATTCTGCATTGTTTCCAAAATATAAGTGTGTTAGAAAGTGAGCCTAAGTATATATTTATTTTAGGACCGAGGAAGTAGATTCTAGAATTTTTCCCATATAAAGAGTCCCCGTCGCCTTAATCCAAAAGCGATAATCCAATCGTAACGAGAAAAGGAGAAAGAAAACGCAAAACCCAGAAGAATCCAGCCCATCCACAGCGCATGCACTGGTGACCTTTCTCGTGCCTGTTTAGTTCCTAAAATTTTGCAAATTTTTTCAAGATTCTCCATCACATCGAATCTTTGGACGCATGCATGAAGCATTAAATATAAATAAAAAATAAAACTAATTACATAGTTTAGACGAAATTTACGAGACAAATCTTTTAAGCCTAATTAGACTATGATTGGACACTAATCGCCAACTAACAACGAAAGTGCTACAGTACCATTTCCCAAAAAAAAACGCCAACTAAACAAGGCCTATAACGGAAATGCTATACAACAACAGGGTGTTTCATCACCCGGTGGCACACGAATTTTTTTTGCCGCGCCTGCACTGTTGTGCCTACGTCTGCCCGTCCCCGCGCCGCCGCTGCCGCGCCCGACATCTTTCCCAACTCCGGCGAGCTTCTTCTTCCTCAACTCCGGCGCTGTCACCAAATTTTGTCTTTGTCCTTTCATAGAAAAAAAATTATTACTTGCAATTTATAATTTGTTACTTATGATTTGTGCCAAGGAGAAAGAGAGAAGAGGAGAAAGATGAACAATATCTATGGATGTCTTTCCAGGCCACGTTTAGTTTGGTGTCCGATTCGGTGCCGCCAAATTCAGGGAGGTACTGTAGCTACAGTACTTTCCGTTTTTATTTGGTAGTAATTGTTCAAACATTGACTAATTAGGCTCAAAACGTTCGTCTCGTAAAGTACAACTAAACTGTGCAATTAGTTTTTGATTTCGTCAACATTTAGTACTCCATGCATGTACCGCAAGTTTGATGTAACGGGAAATCTTCTTTTTTATAGTGCCAAAATTAGGAATTTGGTGGAACTAAACAGGCCCAGTTGCTAAAAACAGGTGTTAGATAGATAGACTCTTCTATAAAATCCACGTGAGCCCCCGAGTCCTGGACGCATCGCTCTCCAAATCACCCGACGCGGCACATAACCCAACACCACTCTCCCTCTCCCAGTTCTCACCGCCAACGCCACCACCCCCACCGTTGCAAACCCCCGTCTCCCACCGGCTGCAGTTTTCCTTCCCCCCTCCCTCGGCGGCTCCTCGCGGACGGAGAGAACCCCGCTCCCTTGCCTAGGGTTCCCGGAACCCTAGCCCCGACCCGTACGCGCGAGTGCCCCGGCGACGAGGAGGCGGCGGAGACGGGAGGGGGCAGAAGGCGCGGGAGGCGGAGGCCTGTGCTGTATGTCAGATCGTGGGAGCCGGCGAGGCGGAGGCGGAGGAGGAGACTACGGACACGGTCAGCTCGCGAACCCGCTCCAATGGCCGCAGCTAAGGAAAAGGCGTCGGTATGCTGCAGCCGCGATGCGCCTGCGCGTGTCGCTGGCGCCCCTGTCATCCCCATGCGCGCGATCGCAGCATCCCCGGTCGGCAAGGTCGTCGCCTTCGCCGCGGGAGGCGGTGAGCGCGTGGCGGCATCGGCCGCAGGCGCAAGCGGCGCCGTGATCGAGGAGATCGCCGCGGTCCAGCCCACCACAGCGAAGGCCTCCTCCAAAGGTATCCGAAATCGCCGCCACCTCCCTCCATCTCCGTCTCTGTGTCCCGATGAAGTCGGATCCTATTTTGATTGGGTCATGACTAATGTTACGGGAGTTTCCTGCCGTGCATGGATCTTAAATTAGGTGAGGTATGCCATGGTGGGTGTTTCTGCCGATCACGATTTTTCGTGAGGTTAGATGTTGATTGAGGAAACGCAATCTTAGTGGTGGTAGCTGTATACAGGCTACAGAGTGCATCGTTTCGTGCGCATGCAAAGCAGAGGATGCAGATTAGTTTGTAGGATCTGCCAGGTTCAGATACGTGGATGGATGATGATATTTGCACCAACAACATAGGAGTAGTTCTCGTGTGCATGCCACCAGATTGTACAGATTAGTAGGTCTTGGAATCTGGGCGTGTGCAAATTAGATCTTGTAGAGGCAAATCGTGGTTTACTCTGCCCATCTGGCTAAAGTGATGATTGGAGCACGGGGTTTGATGTGATGGCTAAGGCCACACAGCCATACTAGTGGGTCTTTACGCTCGCGAAAAAAAAATACTAGTGGGTCTTAGCTGCCACAAAAATCTAAAAGTATAGTCAGTCTTTGTAGCCTACCGTTCAGAACTGTGCTCGATAACAGTTTGGTGCGCCAGCTTTCTTTTTCTTTGATCACTAGTTGTAGTGATCAATTTGTTTTTTACTTCTGTATATGATGAGGTTTCTGCCTTTCCGGTAGGGAAGTGAGGAAAATGTCCCAATTTGGATAAATGATGTCAGCTTGCCAACGGGCGTATATGCTGCTTGTTTTTTCAGTTTTTTTGGATCAATAATATAGGTCGACAGAGTTTCTGGCATTCACGTTTTTCATGTATGCGCCACTAGCATTAGCTGCTGGTGCATGTTGTTTCACTCAGTCCACATCTCGTTGTGTAGTAGTAGCGTTTTTGGGGATTCTGAATTGATGAGGTGCACGCTACCTTTGCACTTTATTGTGTTGTCTGGCCTGTCTGCATGCTGCTACCCTTTAAGTTTCACCGGATGCTCGAGGTGATGTTGACTTCGATGTTGTTTTTTATCTGTAACGGGAAAATGACATTATATCAACATTAACTTTTGTATCAAGTGTCAAACAAAAATTTCATTACGGATTTGAGAGATTCTTATTGATATTCTCATATGGTTACCAAATTTTGAGCAGATGTCCTTTGGTGGAAAGTATAACACTTTTTTTCATGAACGTGGAAAATATAAATAGTTTTTCTTTTTCACAAAAAAATCTGCGTAGTACCTTTTTAATGACATGACATGGATTTTCTGTGGAAATAACTATTTTGCATTTATAAATCACCAGATTTATTCCTGTTGACCATCAGCTTCTTTATTATGAAGAAGTGAAGTATGAGCAATGGTTCATACACTGTGCCTAATCTAATGAGGTCATAGTGTTGGTGACTTTGGCTGTGAACTTAAAAAAGGACATCAATTAGATGTCTAGATCCAGGACATGGGCACTGGTTGGTTTGGTTACAAAATATTTTAAGACTTGCATTTATACTGTATGGTCAACGCCAGTACAGTTTCTTATCTTTTGCCTTAGAGATATATCTATTTAGGTGGCACCTCTTCTGACCCCTGATAAGCACATGCCAAATTATCTATTTCGAAAGCTTGACCTATGCTAATATTTCTCCTTATTTTATTCATGGCTTTTTGTGATTGATGTTTGCTCCATGTAATATTTTAGAACTCGTTGAAAGATGTTTGTGTAAGAAGTTCGTTATGCATGACCTGTCCTATATTCTTCCTTATTGGTCATCATGAAAATTTGACAACCCTGCTTGACATGGTTCTCTGTATTTACCATTTATTTAACAGCCTATAACCTAGATAGTCACATGCTATTTGAACCATGTGTTAACTCAACTAGTGTTTTTCTGGACAAAAAAAATGCAGGGATACCAATAATGACAAGAGCCCAGAGGTGCCACCCTTTAGATCCATTATCTGCTGCTGAAATTGCAGTTGCTGTAGCAACTGTAAGAGCTGCTGGAAGATCTCCTGAGGTATGCCAACAGAAGTTATACATATGCTTTTCCATGCAATCTTGAAAATAAGAATTTGACAAGAAAAGTTCTATGATTGTAGGAAAGAGACAGCATGCGCTTTGTTGAAGCTGTGCTGTTGGAGCCAGAAAAGAATGTTGTGGCATTAGCCGATGCCTACTTCTTTCCACCTTTCCAGCCATCACTGCTCCCTAGAAGCAAAGGTTCTGCTGTTATTCCAAGCAGGTTACCTCCTAGGAGGGCCAGACTTGTTGTCTACAATAAACAATCAAATGAGACTAGCATTTGGATAGTGGAACTATCTGAAGTGCATGCAGCTACTAGGGGTGGACATCACAGAGGGAAAGTGATATCATCTGAAGTTGTTCCAGATGTTCAACCTGCAATGGTATGTCGACTAATTTTTGTTCAGAATTCTTCATGCCTTATGACTATTTGTCTCAATCTGCCGATGACTTGGTCCATGTAATTGTATGTAATGGCCTGTTGTTATTTCATTCACTATGGTATCTGTTTGTATTTTTCAAACATTCATGTTACTCGGCTAGTTGAATTTATGGAAGCTATTAAGAGAAGAGGTGCGGATGGCATGGATTATTTTACTTTACTATTTTAAAATTTTATCTTTGATAGGATGCTATGGAGTATGCTGAATGTGAGGCTACAGTCAAAGTTACCCTCCATTTATTGAAGCTATGAAGAGAAGAGGTGTGGATGACATGGATCTTGTTATGGTGGATGCTTGGTAATCTATCTATAAGGAATTTCTCGGGCTAAAATTTTCATATTGTGCTATGCTGCACCTTGCATTATCATATTTGTAAATTGAAAGGAAAGTTAAAACTTTGTCTATTAAATTGTCAGGTGTGCTGGCTACTACAACGAAGCTGATGCTCCCAGTCGCAGACTTGGCAAGCCTCTGATATTTTGCAGAACTGAGAGTGATAGCCCCATGGAGAATGGGTATGCTCGTCCTGTCGAAGGAATCTATGTTGTTGTTGATATGCAGAATAATGCTGTGATAGAGTTTGAAGATAGGAAGTTGGTTCCTCTACCCCCTCCAGATCATTTGAGAAACTATACTCCTGGGGAAACAAGAGGTGGTGTTGATCGAAGTGATGTAAAACCACTTATCATCAATCAGCCTGAGGGTCCAAGTTTCCGCATTAATGGCTATTTTGTGGAATGGCAGAAGGTAATTGTTTGCTGAACTGCAATGCTATTATTAACATAATGTTTTTTTGAAATAAATAACAACTTAATGGCTATATGGCAGTGGAACTTCCGTATTGGCTTCACCCCAAAGAGGGTTTGGTTATCTATTCTGTTGCTTATGTTGATGGTAGCCGTGGACGTAGACCTATAGCACATAGGTTGAGCTTTGTTGAGATGGTTGTTCCTTATGGAGATCCAAATGAACCACATTATCGCAAGAATGCATTTGATGCTGGAGAAGATGGACTTGGAAAAAATGCTCATTCTCTTAAGAAGGTTATTTTGTTCGGTTCTTGATGAGTATCCTCTTCTACATTTTAATGTTGCTTTGATTTGACTATATTCTTTAACCTTTTTGTACAGGGATGTGATTGCTTGGGCTACATAAAATATTTTGATGCACATTTCACAAACTTCACTGGTGGTGTGGAGACAATTGAGAACTGTGTTTGTTTGCATGAGGAGGATCATGGGATCCTTTGGAAACACCAAGACTGGAGAACTGGTTTAGCAGAAGTAAGGCGATCAAGGAGGCTCACTGTTTCATTTATCTGTACAGTTGCAAACTACGAGTATGGTTTTTACTGGCACTTCTATCAGGTAACTATTTCATTGGTTTTCCTCTTATAATGTCAGAAAGTAAGTAGCATTTACTTAATGCCCAGTATATATTATATTATCTATATAAGTTTGCTTAGTTATGCATGAAAGAGTTCAATTTTGATACTGCAAAGATCACAGTTCATTGATGGTTTTAGTGATTGAACGTTAAAATTTTCTGAAGCTTCAATTTTTTGCAATTATTTGTTGATCCTCTTGGTTGCAGGATGGAAAAATAGAAGCAGAAGTAAAGCTTACTGGAATTCTCAGCTTAGGGGCCCTGATGCCTGGGGAATCAAGGAAATATGGCACAACTATTGCCCCTGGTCTGTATGCACCAGTTCATCAGCATTTCTTTGTTGCCCGTATCGACATGGCTGTTGATTGCAAGCCTAATGAGGCTCATAACCAGGTGGGGGTTGCCATCTATTTGCACCTTTTTTTATATCTATCAAATTGCCCACAAAAATAGTTTGCAATCTGAATGGGACCACACAAAATTCAATTATATCTTTACATCAGATCAGATAAAAGAAATCGAAATGACCGTACCTGCTAATGTTACATAAACTACTTAGATGAAAGTTACTTCAGGCTACCAAAAAAGTGTTTGTTCAACCATGTAATTTCCATAAACGTATGTGCTTCTTAGGCCAAGTGTGTAAGACCACTGTGCATTGCATGATATCAATCTGTGCCTTCATCCAATGCAGTATCTTTTGATATCCATTATATCAAAGCCATTGTGATTTATCATTTCTTGTGCAGGTGGTTGAGGTTAATGTTAAAGTGGAAAGTGCAGGCACACATAATGTGCATAATAACGCTTTCTATGCTGAAGAGAAGTTGCTGAAGTCTGAGTTGCAAGCAATGCGTGATTGCGACCCTTCATCTGCACGCCACTGGATTGTAAGAGCTCTGTTTTCATGTTTTAACATTTTGTTATTCCTACCAGTATTGTTGTACCATTAAATTGTGCATACAATACCTGGTCATTATCTTTATGCTTATATGCAATTCAATAATGATGAAAATTACTGGCTGGCTGCTCTCTTCTGAGTTGTGACAACGGATGCATTTTGTTTTGCCTTTGCATGTTCATATTAGTATTTGTACCAGTAATGATCTTGCATCAAACAAATATGAGCATAATTGTCCTTAATAATTGCACTATTGTTGATTGCTCATTTTACTTGTTTGCATTGCGTTCAGGTACGCAACACACGAACTGTAAATCGGACCGGGCAGCCAACTGGTTACAGGCTCGTACCTGGTTCGAACTGCCTGCCTTTGGCTCTGCCTGAGGCGAAATTCCTGAGGAGGGCTGGGTTCTTGAAGCACAATCTCTGGGTCACTCAATACAAGAGTGACGAGATGTTCCCTGGAGGGGAGTTTCCCAACCAGAATCCTCGCATCCACGAGGGTCTGCCAACATGGGTCAAGAAGGATAGGCCTCTGGAGGAAACCGATATTGTTCTCTGGTACTTTCTTCATAACAGACCGTTTTCTTGAAAACCACTTACTGTTATGCAGAAATCGGAACTGTTTGTTTAGCTTACTGCTATGTTGCAAAATCTGATAAAACCGTGTTCCGCTTCGGCAGGTATGTGTTTGGGCTCACCCATATCCCAAGGCTGGAAGATTGGCCAGTCATGCCGGTGGAGCGCATAGGCTTCATGCTCGTGGTATCAGCTTTTGAGCTTTTCAGCGTTTCTGTCATAGGCAGTGAACCAAAGGATCCCTTTGTTGCTTTCACATAGAGATATTAGACTAACTTCCGTCGTTTCTAATGACTACAGCCACATGGATTCTTCAACTGCTCGCCTGCGGTCGACGTGCCTCCAAGCTCGTCTGATGCGGATGTCAAGGAAGCCGAGTCGCCCAAGGCCATCCAGAATGGCCTCATTTCGAAGCTGTGAGCTTTGCTGTTCTTCCAAGGGAAAAATCAGCGCGCGGCTGCTCTGCCTATATTTTATCCTATTGCTCGAATAAAAGTAAAACTGCTCGATATCCGTTTGTTTGCTGCTTGGTAATACCGCTCTGTTTGCTACACTTGTTTTTCTTTTTCTAAAGACGGTTTTCTATGATTGTCGACCAGCGCGCTGTGAAGTATTACATTGCTTGCGTACTAATAAAGTAGTAGTACTGTTTGGACTTGCTTAATACCACATTGAATATAATTTTGCCTCCCTGTTTGTGCATTCAATACAATTTCGCCTCATTATTTGAATGTCACCACCTTCGTGCAAAAACCGCGCACATTCGGTACAGTTTGGCTCTCCTGATGTCATCATCATTAATAAGGCTCCGTTCGGATGGTGCAAAAATTGCACTGTTCACGGCTGAAAGCTACTATTCATAGCTGATTTTCTCTCATAAATTTCTCCGGATTTCTTCAAATTCCTCCGAGCGAATGGGGCCTTATTAATCACTCTGAACTCTGAAGCCACTTTCAGCTTGTTGGCCGCACTGTCCATATACGAACGTTTCTGGACTTCTTATACAGAACATTAGTTCTGCTATTACAAATACAAAAATAACATCATAGTATCATGTTATTCATGCCTCACAGGGAAATTACTGCCTATCCTGTTAGGTCAGAAACCAAAAACCAAAACATTGCTACGTCATCCAGGGTGAAACAAAAAATAAAGCTTGAGATGGATGATCCAAGGTGCAGCTACAGTGTTCAATTTACATGATCCAAAACAATGCCATCTAGTCTAGTTTGAGAAGAGAAGCGCATCCTGTTACTGCCAGCCTTTTCGATCAGTTTCACAAAACCGTGTCTCCGTTTGCATCACTTTGACTCGTCCGTCAACTGCAGTGGCGGCGGATCGTGGTCCAAGAAGTCCTTGACGCTGGCCGGAAACGCAACGGCCGCCGTGTCGGCGGAAGCCCTGGCGAGTAGCAGGTGCGCCAGCCTCGCGGGCTCCCTGCACCCGCCGCCTTCCCCGCGGTGGTAATGGCGGATCCAGGCGTCCAGCCTCGCCTTCTCCCTGTCGCACTTGGGGCCGACCACGCCCACGACCTTGGCCAGGAACCCGTCGGCGCCGCTGCAGTCGCACCCGCCTCCGTCGCCGTCGTCGTCGCGGCTGCTGCTGTCGCCGCCCCCCGGCGGCTGCGGTTGCGGCGGTGACAGGCCGAGCAGCGCCATGAGCCGCGCGATGTCCTCCCCGCCGCCGTCATCTTCGTCGTCGTCGTCGTCATCCTGTTGGATGCGCTGGTCCTCTTCGGTGACGGCGGTGAGGAAGTCCAGCGCCGGGCTGCTGCTGTCGCGGCTCGCGGCCGTGCCGCTGGGCGCTGGTGCGGGTGCTGCTGGGTCGAGGAAGAGGAGAGGGGACGCGGTCATGGTGTCCGAGAACGGCGACGCCTCGGATTGGCGCGCCGTTGCCGTTGCCGTTGTCGGCGGCGGCGGCGGGCTCTTCTTCTGCTCCTGATTTTGCTCCGAGGCCAGCCGGTCTTCCACCTGGAGAGCAGAGGAAGAGCGCTTGCGGCGTCAGAGGAGGTAGGGCGCGGCTTGTGCGCCGTGCGATTGGAGAAGAGAAGAGGAAGGAAGAATGGTTCGGGGCCCACCCGCTGGAGGGAGGCGAAGAAGCCGGCGTGCCGCGAGAAAGGCTGCTGCCGCATCGTGCCGTCGGCCGTCGCCGGGGACAGGAGTGGTGCCGGGCGGCGGCGACGCGTCGTGGGTTCGGGGTTGCTTTCGGGCGCCGCCGCGTTTGGGTAGGTCACGGTGAAGTGAAGGAGACGAGAGCGCGCCGCCGCGATTGGATTGGAGTGGATCGTTTGTGTTTTTTGTACGGCCGATGGAATGAATACATCACACGCAAATCCATCGATCTCCCATGTTTGAATTAAGTGGCGAAAAAAAAAGGGGAAATCTATGCAGCACCGCTGCAATGAATTTGAATTTGAAAGCACGTTGAACGGAATATCAATGAGTTTGTTGGAAATCTCCAAATGTCAACTGCATCACGGCTACCAATCTCTACTTGGTAAATTGGCACTCTAGACTAGAAAACCAACAGTCCGCATACAAATGAATGCAGTCGGGCACGATGGATCTCTCTCGTCTGCATCAATCATCATCAGTAGTTTAGTCTGCGCCGCCGCCACAATCGGCAGTCGGCACCGCTCTCCCTGGCTCCCTCGGCTCCTCAGTAGTACGTGCACGAACCATAACCTGCAAAACGAGCGAGCGACATTCGATCAGATGGCACATGAATGAATGTAGGATTTGAGAGCGGAGAGAAGACTGGGGGCAGCAATGGGATTGAGGGTGTGGTACTTGGATCGGACTGCACGACGAGCGCGGAGTTGTTGAAGTAGCAGTTCCAGGGGTGCCTGCCGCTGTAGGCGTAGTAGAGGTTCATGGCGACGGCGGCGCGGGACACGAGGCTGTCCGGGTAGTAGCACGGCCCGCCTTTCTGGATCACGGCGCAGCTCACCTGGGAGCACGCGTAGACCAGGTTCTGCGCCAGGATCTCGTTCGACGCCGACGGCTTGGCGATGCACCAGGTTTTCTGCACTCGTCGGCACGCAGATCCAATCCAACCACAACCAGGTTATTCATTTGAGAATTGAAGATTTCAAAGGTGTAGTATAGCGTCAAGAGCAAAGGCGTATTGGAGATTTCAAGTACCTGTCCCTCCACGAGACCAACGGTGCTGCCTGCAAGACACCCAGAGAGATGAGTACCCACTTTAGACGAACGCTGTTTCTAGTTGAGCGCATAGTAGTGGACTTGAGCTCACCTGAGGTGAAGTAGAGGAGCACAAGCCCCAGCGAGAAGAGCAGGAGCGACGCAGATGGCCGATCTCCTCCCCCCATCTTGCTCTGCTGCACTGCACAGCACTGAGCACTGGCACCAAGATGGAGCCGGGAGCTGTGTGAACTTGTGAGAGTCAGATCGGGGACTAGTGTGGGCGTGTGGCTCTGCACTGAAGAGTAGCAGGGAGCAGCTGGTTGATTAGTGTAGCTTGGGGAGAGGATTTCCCTTGCTTGATTGCCTTGTTGATTAGAGTAGACAGTAGAGTTGGTGACACTGACTCAGCTTGCTTGCTGGGATGCTCTCGTGCATGCTACACTCATGTGACAGCGTGACTTTTTGTGACCGGCACAGGTCTCTGGCTTCGACCCAAGGCAACCAACCATGTGCTTCAGCAGGATAACAAATGTAGTACTGGGAATCTTGTTCCCGGTCCGCTCTCTCTCTCTCTCTCTCTCTCTCTCTCTCTCTCTCTCTCTCTCTCTCTCTCTCCCTCCGCACGTCAGTTTTTGACTGTGCAGTACAGTGCATCTTATCTTGGGCCCCCTCCTGATCACAAAGCCGGGTGGATCCACACAGGACATTTTGGCCCACGTTGACCAACTCCTGGTCATTATCCACAGGTTTCTGTCCCCAGTCTAGCCTTTCTGATCATCTGATGTATGCTAGTCAAAGCAGGATCAATATGGAGGAATTCTCAAAACAAAAACAAAAGGATCAATATGGAGGAAAAAAAAAGGCACTGCTCAGAATCGGATTTCTTTCAAATTTGAGCTTACAGTTGTACTGCTTCCCAACAGAGCTGAAGAATTGCCCCTTTTCTCTACTAAGCAGAGTTTCTATCCACGGATGGCTCTACAATAAACAGAGAGAGCCACCCATGATTACCAAATGATGCATTACTTTATTCGTTCCTGATCCATGTGGGTTCCATTACTGCGAGATAGAGATAGATCCAAAAATCAAATACTAGCCCCTGGCCGTAAAAGATGTCATCACTCATCAGGCACTTGAACGTACGTACCTTGCTTTGTTCCTTGTTCTTGTCGTTACGCCTTTTCCATTTGGCTTTGCTCCTGCTTTCCCATCCCATGCGGAGGAATTTGAGGCGATCCATTCACAAAAACAGAGCCACATCTTGAGTCTAATATCTTTTCCCCCTACTTTTCGTGGAAAGAGAAAGATTGGATTGATTTCAGAAATGTTCTCAAGGTTTTGGGAACCTTTGTTCTCAGAAAAATATACACAAACCTTCTGCGAACACCAAACACAATCGAAGCAGAACAGAGAAATTCTCATGGTACAAGATAGATCTAAACTGCCCTATGTACTACTGGAGCCCAAAGGCGGCAAGGCAACTAGCACAAGAAGCACATGCTGCACCAAACTCATGGTGTCCTGAACTCGAGGAAAATGGACTAGAAAACGATGGGTGTGAAACCAATCTCGATCAAACGTCTCTCGAGCCGAGCAGAGAGCATCGCTGGGTTCCCCGTTCCCTCGAAGCTGGGGATTGTCGAGATCCAGGACGGTGGCCTGGCATAGCCTGATAGCCATGATAGCCATGGGCCATGGCGTTGACAGAATGACAGCAGCGCATGCATGATGCATGGAGTTCTCAACTTCTGTTTACATGCTAGTTTAGCCCTCATCTTCAGACACCTTGTCAATCATGATCCCTCAGCTTCAGACATCCTATCAATCATGAAAACCGAGACCTCATCGGAGTTCATCATTGCTCTTAATTGCAACATCGATACAGACATTTGGCCACTATGTCTATGTCCAGACATTTCTGCTTTTTCTTTCAATGGACAGACATTTCTGATATAATAAGAAAGACACAAATGTCAAGCCTCCAGGCTTCTGATATAAACTGATGAAACTAGCAATTTGCACATGTACAGTTTTGTTGTGGACTGACATCTCCATAACTAGTATTTGCTACAGAACTTTCTGTACTACATGTTCTCCTGCTATTACATCTGCCAATGGATGGCTTTATACAGAGAGCCACAGTATGGCTACTGCAGGTTAACATTCCTGAGGATGCTGAAGAAGCATACATGTTTGCTTCACCCTTCCGTGGCGTGCTTCAATTTTGGCTACAGACGACATAGGTATGGACATATGATATGGTTGTTTACACTTTGGCACAGTCCATTTCCTCACCTTCTAGGATGGAGTGTCCTAGGCTTCCATTTATCAGCATCCGACATGGCACGCTGTGCATTCACAACTGAGAGCGATTCAAATATTACATCTCTCATGTGGGCAGCAGCAGTTTCTCCACGCCGTGTTGCCAACTCCAGATACATGAGAGACTTGACCTTGTCTCCTGCCTGTATAAAAGATAGACATCATCACAAGAAAAGAGAGCCACATGAGTTACAGGTAAACATATGGATATCTTAAAATTTAGGAAGCAATCATAGTAGGGGAATCTGGCATGGGTTTGTGTTATAACTTATAAGTAACTTATAATAATACTTCAATACAAGGGATTATGGGTTGATCTATTTAATAGCACACGCCGTGAAAATTATTATCACTATGGAGCGGTATAGGGAGAAGAATGACCTACACATGGTTTTTATTGACTTGGAGAAGGCTTATGATAAAATACCAAGGAATGTTATGTTGTGGGCTTTGGACAAACATAAAGTCCCAACAAAGTACGTCGGGCTCATTAAGGACATGTACAACAATGTTGTGACTAGTGTTCGAACAAGTGATGGAGACACGGATGACTTCCTGATTAGGATAGGACTACATCAAGGGTCAGCTTTGAGCCCTTATCTGTTTGCCTTAGTGATGGATGAGGTCACAAGGGACATACAAGGGGACATCCCTTGGTGTATGCTTTTCGCGGACGATGTAGTGTTAGTTGATGAAAGCCGGACAGGAGTGAATCAGAAACTAGAGTTATGGCAGGAGACTTTAGAGTCCAAAGGTTTTAGACTCAGTAGAACTAAAACTGAGTATATGAGATGTGACTTCGGCACTACTACTCGGGAGGAGGAAGATATTAGTTTGGAAGGTCAAGTAGTGCCTAGGAAGGACACCTTTCGATATTTAGGATCAATGCTACAGAGAGACGGGGATATTGATGAAGATATTAGCCATAGAATCAAAGCAGGGTGGATGAAGTGGCGCCAAGCATATGGTATCCTATGTGACAAAAGGATACCACAGAAGCTAAAAGGCAAGTTTTATAGGACGGCGATTAGACCTGCTATGTTGCATGGTGCAGAATGTTGGCCTACGAAAAGACGACATGTTCAACAGATAAGTGTCGCGGAAATGCGTACGTTGCGTTGGATTTGCGGTCATACAAGAAGGGATCGAGTTCGGAACGATGATATACGTGATAGATTAGGGGTAGCACCAATTGAAGAAAAGCTTCCAACACCGGTTGAGATGGTTTGGACATATCCAACGGAGACGTCCAGAGACACCGGTGCGTAGTGGAATCCTAAGCCAGGATAGTAACATGAAGAGAGGCAGAGGAAGACCGAAGTTGACTTGGGTAGAGGCAATAAAAAGAGACTTGAAAGGATGGAATATACCCAAAGACTTAGCCTTAGATAGGAGTGCTTGAAAAACAGTTATTCACGTGCCTGAACCTTGATTGCTTCTGCTGGGTTTTAACTCTAACCTACCCCAACTTGTTTAGGACTTAAATGCTTTATTGTTGTTGTTGTTGTTGTCGTCGTCGTGATGTCAATTTGAGCTGCAGGTACTACTATCCGTGTTTAAGAAACTTACCTTGCCTATGTTACCCGCACATCCACTCTAATCCTAATCACCTTTACAAAGGAATTAGATCAGCTGCAATGCTACTTTAAGTTTTACCCATGTACAGTACACGTTTGCAATGAAGACATGGAAAGTCAATGCCAACATGGTGCCGTTTAGTAGGAAATCTGATTATGCAGGAACTCCCCTAGGAGCATTTCCATTTTCTCCAGGAAATCAAGCATTATGTCCTAACCTTATGTGGGCACTATTTACAAACTGAAGTGCATAATGGCAAGCAACGCATGACAACTTCGAAGAACAGTTCGAAACAAAAGTGCACTGCTATGCCAAACATTTTGAAACAAACAAATCCAGATAAGCAAGTCTGGCACTCCCATAAGAAAGAGATAAGTAAAGACATACGCGCACAAAGTTTAATACCACACTCATAAAGAGCTTTCTTGTGACCAGAATCAGCAGCTAGTTGAAGCCACCTCTTAGCACGCACTGGATCCTGTGAAAGCCCTTCACCATAGCTGTAACACAAGGAAATGTTATACATGGCTCGTACATTCCCTCCCTCTGCAGCTCGCAAATACCATTTTGCCTGCATTAATAAGTGTCTTTCAGATTACACAGTACAACTCAAGTACTACAAAGAATATGGGAACCTGCTGGTAGTCCAGTATCTGCTGGTTAGTGTATTTTGATTGGTCTGGGTGACATGATCCTAATTACATTGGTAAAGGAAATCCAACCAATACTCTTTTTGAAAAAACTAGTTTCTCTTAATTGAGTTAAAGAACTTCAACAGAACCTGGTAATCCCAGCATCATCAGATCAGAGGGTAGCCAGTAGTTCAGCAACTGAACATCAGTTGTCTATTCCTAATCTATCTAGTAAGAGGTGTGATAAATGCATAGATTGTATAAACAGGATAGTGTATCAATTTTCCTAGTTTTTTCAAAATGCATCTAGAAAACAGGAGTACTTCTACTGTAAGGAAAATTTTGCAAAATGGTGTGCGACACCGACATAGCAGAGGGATCACATCTTACAGCTTCCTTCTGATTCCGCTTGACACCCTTCCCATTCTGCAAGCAAAGGCCTAGGTTGTATTGAGCACGAGCATTGCCTGCAGATGCTGATGGATAAAACCATCTAATGGCTTCCTCGGCCTTGGGTGGATCAGCTGCGGAAATATTTGGCAGCAATATCAGGCGCAATGCCTTGAGACGAACAAGGCGATTTATCGCTAACTAACTAATAAATAACATGCTTGACTACACTGATCAATTATTAGTGGATTCTTTCTTTATTACTATGCAGAGTTTAGAGTTGGACATAAACAACCCAAAGTTTACTAAATGAATCGCAACATCAAGAGACAGTGACAGAGCACAGTGGAAAGCTTCCCCAAAAAATATTACTTAGAATGGTTCAAAAGTCCTGCAGATAAAACTAACAGTGCGCATATATAGAATATATACGATGAATATATAGAATGTATAAGATGAATAGATGAGTAACCCTTCCTGAATTCCGAATGTTTCTACAACCACCTAGAACAAGTCTCCTGAAAGCTAACCCTGTGAAGTGTGAACCAAATCCACCAATACCTTCGAGGTAGGAGACTCCAAGGTTGCACATCCCAACTGGATGCCCCAGGTCCGCCGCGCTCCGGTAGTAACCGACGGCCTCCTCCCGCCGCCCATCCTCCCAGCACATGAGCCCCGCGTCCACCATCGCCGCCGCGGAGCCCAGCCTCGCGGCCCGCCGGAACAGCCCCAGCGCGCGCTGCCTCTCCGTCTCGAGACGTTCCCCTCCGGCCCCGCGTGAGGCAGCGGATCCCGCCACGAGGCCGTGCTTGACGCGTCGGCCGTACGCGTGCAGCGCCGCGGCCTCGCGGAGCGGCCGCAGCGCGTCCCGCCACGCGCGGCACGCTCGGCTGGCCGCCGCGACGTCGGAGGCGCACGCGGCCGCGAGGGCCCGGTGGACGAGCTCCGGCGGGAGCGCGGAGAAGTCCGCACCCTGCGGCGTCGGCGCGGGCGCGGGCGGGGGCTTGTGCTTCTTGGAGTGCCGGCGGCGCCGGCGGTGCGGGGACGGCGACGCGTGGGGCCGGGAGGAGAAGGGCGGCGGCGAGGGGGTTGGGGGCGGCCAGGTTTGGCTCGCGTCCATGTCCATCAGAGGAGGGGGAGGGTACGCGCCGAGCCGCGTCGGGCCAGCCAGGGGACGAGGCGGGGGTTGTTGGCCTGGACTGGGAGCCTAGGTGGGACTGGCAGGACCGGAGCATGTCAGCCATTTGGTGTTCATTGTTCTGACGTGTGGATCATTGTGTCTTGTGTGAATGGCGGGTGGGGTCACAGATTGTTTGGGCTCTGTGACAGTGACTGATCAATTGTCAATTTGTCATTGCAGGTTGCGCCATTTTTCTAGTTGTTCAGCCGGGTGGGTTGCGCCATTTTTCTAGTTGTTCAGCCGGGTGGGTTGCGCCATTTTTCTAGTTGTTTAATTCTAATGCCAGTCTATGTTAGCATCCTAGACGTCCTAAGTATGCATCAGAAATTAGAGGTGTGGTTTAGAGAGACAACAGTTCGATCTCCTCCAATTGTCTTGATTGGAGGCTAACCGTAACCGAGCAAGTCCTACCAAAACTCAAACAAGGTCGTAGATCTTTCATTTATATTGGTCGACGTCCTCTTGATCTCGAGGCAAGGTATGTCCACGTTGAAAAGTTATGCTTATCGTTGTACTATGTAAGTTCTAAATGGAGACATTATTTACTATCATTGTTGCTTGCTAGGCCTATGTGATTAAGCGCATGTTACGTCGGCCAATTCTTAACGGAAGGATGAGTAAATGGGCATACACATTAATTGAATATGATCTTTGTAACACCCTGGTGTTACGATCTTGTTTAGCACCGTAATTTAGGCCTACGAAAATTTCCGAAACGGTTTTCTCGGATTTTAAATTTTAACTTATGTTTGAAAGTGACATTTTGGCGAATTATATTGAACAACGGGTTAATTAGTTCGTAGATATTTTGTTTCTTGGAGTTAGTATGACGTATGGACTAGTGTGTGGAATGCGCAGTAGGCACCATGTGCGAATGCTCCCTCGTGTTCTTGTTCGGGAGCATTTTAATGGAGGATTTGCCGAGCTGGCTGCCTTCGCGTTCCGCCAAGTTCAAGTCGTCCTGTCTATGCGCTGGTGCGACGACGGTGGTGCGTTCCCCCTGCTGTGAATCAGTCATTTGATTTATGGCGTCGCATCGTGTGCTCCTGTCGGCCACGTCGTGCCAGGCCACCTGCCCCTGCCCCACGCCGCATTTATGAGGTTGGTGACGAACCGCACGGCTCCTCTCTCTCTCGCGCGCGCCTGCTTTTCCTTGCCTACCATGGTATGCGCCTCTCTGTGTCGAAAGCGGGCGGGTCACCTCAAGATTCTTCTTCTTTGTTGCTCCCACTCGCACCGCTGCCCTCCTTTTTCTTTCTTCCTTAGCCGCCACCCGAGCCATCCGGTGGCGGTTCACACCTTCTCCTCGCCTACTACTACTGCGCTGGCGCCTCAAGGCCCACACCCCTTGCCCTCGCACATCCACTTTTAGTGGCCACACCCGCCTTATCGCGTCGCCCGCCCGTCGCCACTCCAGGTTTCCCTCACGCGCGCGCGAGCATCCACGGCACCGTCCTAGCTTTGTCTCGCGCTGGTCCACAGTTTCCCCAGCGCCGCCCCTCCCTTCCCCGCATCGCGCGCCCATGGCCGCAGTCGCTGCTGACCGCGCTGCCCTGCGCCACATTCCCACCGTGCCAGCGCCCGCGTTACCTTGTCCTGCTCCCCACGCTCCATCCGCGTCGAGCCGACGCTCCCCCGCGCGAGCCCCTCGACCCGCTCTAGACCGCTGTCGCGCCCGTGTGCCCGCAGTGCCGCCCCCTTTTCTCTCCCTCGTGAGTGCGCCGAGCCGCGCTGTTCCGCCCCGCTCCCTGTTGCTCGTCCCTTGGCTATCTCCCCGGCTCCTCCCGTGCCCCAAGCACCAACGCCCCCTCCTTTTCCTTCCCTGCCGCGGTCGCGTGTGGCTGTCGTGCCCGTCCTAGCCCATGCCCCCTCACGCGAGCTCCACTACGCTGTCTTTCCACGCGCCTCGGCCGTGCTGGCGTGCCGCCGGTGCCCCATGTGTCACCCCACCGTCTCTGTCGACCGGCGCACCGACTCCCCTACAGTAGCCACATCCGGTCGCCATGCCGCGTCGCCACCGCACGTCGCCCCGCTGCTGTGGGCCACCTCCTCCCGCACTGTGGGTGAAAGTGCATCTAGCCCTTTAGTGGGTTTTGGATGATTGAAAGACAACATGATTAAAAGTCTAACCCATTTACTGAGTGTGGACAGGTAATAGGTTATCTTACAGGTACTTAACGAAAGCCAAAATGATATGTTGTTGTATAAACAATCTAGTTCAAGCACAAGACAATAATGCAAATGGAATTCATGCAAAGGCTTATTTATTGTGGGATTTCTATGTGCTATGTGAAAGCAAGCTCTTAAGTATTAATTAATGAGACATGAGGGATTGCATATGGAATGGTCTCATATCTGAAGCTTGCTAAATTGAAATGAAAAGGACAACAATACAAATGAATGGATGATTCAACACAAGATATGACTTGATGGCTTGAGATGATGAAGATAGCAAGGAAAGGCTTCGAGGTACTAAGCAAGGGTGAAGGGCAAGCGATAGCTTGGTGGCCGAAGAACCTAGCTAGGGTGAAGAAGGAAGTACTTGCATTTAGTTGAGGTACTAATCAAGCTACGACGGTCATATTGATGTGGAGGATCAAACCTATATTGGACAAAGTGTTGGAAGTGACTTGATGCATTTGGAGTTATTCATATTTGATGAATGGAATCAAGTCACGTGCTCAAGATGGCTATGCTCAAATGAAAAGATCAATATCAATATAATTGGCACCCTCACTTGATGAAGATTGGAAAACACGGCTTTGGTTCAAAGAGATCAACTCAAAAGGTATAATTTCGTTATACTTTTAAATTTGAGTTAATAGGAATGTCGTACTATTAAGAGGGGTGCATCATGTTGATAGATAATGTTTCATAAGTGCTCAAGCCAACCCATGTGAGTTTTGAGTGTTTGAGAGACAAAAGTGCTAACTGTTTTCTTGCTGGTCTGGCGGTATTGATACCGGACGTGTCCGGTATTTGTCCAGCAGCTGTAAAACCTTTGTCCTCGGGTTGGTTCGTCGGGAGTTCCGACGTAGGTCGGGAGTTCCGACGATCAAAAGTTCCGGCAATGGTCAGGAGTTCCGACGTCTCGCAATTTAACTGAAATAGAGTATTCACTGTGGTGGTCATACCGAACGTGTTCGGTACGTGTCCGGTATGGACAACCAGAGGCCAACGGCTAGTTTTCAAATGCCGTGAGGGTCGGGAGTTTCAACGTAAGTCGGTAGTTCCGACGGTCGGAAGTTCCGACATACGTCGGGAGTTCCGACACCTCACACACTTTAACTCAGTTACGATGTTTTCAAATGTGCTGAGGATCGGGAGTTCCGATGGTCGGAAGTTCCGGCATTCATCGGGAGTTCCGACACCTCACAACTTCACTGTAACTTAGTTACCGTTGGCGCAGTGTAAGTCATACCGGACGTGTCCGGTATTGCAACGGCTATAAAACGGCTAGTTTTCCAAAGGAGGCTATAAATACCCCCAAGCCTCCACCTTTGGAGGCTGCTGATTCTGCTGGTTGCTACACATGTTTTTGAGCCTTGTCAACTCTCCCAACCCTCTCTTAGTGAGTGATTGATCAAACTTGCCAAATCAAATTGTGATTTGAGTGAAATTCAAAAAGAGAGCAATCCAACCACTTGAGCACTTGTGCATATTGTCTATCTCGTGATTTGCATTTGTTACTCTTGGACTCTTCGGTCCTAAACGGTTAGGCGTCGTCGGAGAGCACCCGAGAGATTGTGGTGTGCCTCGAAAAGTTTGTAACGGTCGATTCTGCCGCCTCGGAATCAATTAGTGGAAGGAGTTAAAGGAGTTGGAAAAGACTCCGGCTAGAGTGACCTTCGTGGTACCCTCTAGGGCTGACCTTCGTTGGGTCGTCCGCAGCCCCCTCAACGGAGAGTAGGACTCGAACGAGTCCGAACTTCAGTAAAACAAATATCGTGTCTCAATTCGCATTTCATTTGATATTTGTGTTGCTCTAACTCTTTTGCAGGTTCTCTGTGTATATTGATATCTCTAGTAGGTACCTGCAGTTTGGTTTGAAGATAGAAATCAAAAGGAGCAAGTTCGGGGCTGTTATGTAGAAACCGTGCATACCGGACATGTCCGGTATTAGAGCTCTGTGCTGAAAATATTTATTCGCAGTTCTAACTTTATGTTGCAGGGTTGTAGCCTCTAGATACATTCTTTATACATTGTATACTCTGTGGCTAACTTGTGAGGGGTAGTGCTACTCTTTATTTTGAGTTTCCCTTTTAGAAACTCCCTTTACTAATCATTTCCACATTTAAAGGTGTTAATTTTCAGAAACGTCTATTCATCCCCCCTCTAGGCGGTATCCTAGGTCCTTTCAATGAGCACCTTTGGTTGCGGGTTGGTCTGCCGCTGCCCCACGGCTAGTTTTCTGCCGTTGTCGTGCCCTCCACGGTCGGGATTGACCGCCGGCCGATGCTCCTCTGTTCCTCCTCTATTCGTTGATGAAGAAGAGAAGGGTGAGAATCCAAGTAGAAATTTTGTATAGGGTTCTAGGTGTAAAATACGTGACTCATATGAATTGTGCATTTGTACATCGGGTTGATTTGAGGAAAGCTCGGGGGACCTCATGCAAATTTGCCATCACACCTGTGGCCTCGTTCGTGCTGGGCGGCCTGCCTGCCTCGGCCGCCGTTCGCGCCGCACGCTGGGTCGGCCTGCTGTCGCTCGCGTTCGCGCTGTTATCGTCTGCGCTGGGCCACGTGTGCACGCTGTGCTCTAGGCCGCCGCGCGCCGTTCGTGCTAGGCCGTTGGGCCAGTTTTGTTGCCGCCAGCCCTTTTTCATTTTTGAGGTATTTTCTAATTTAATGCTGAAGCAAATTTGTAAAATCAATATAAAATTGTGTAGGTGTCCAAAAATGGTAAAACTAATTTTGTTATGCTCCTAAAATCATGATCTATCTAAT